GCCCACACAGCCCGGTCCTGCTGCAGCCCAGGGTGTGGGGGCTGGCAGAGCCCAGACATGAACCCCAGACCCCTGTCACTGGGAGCCCCACTCCATGTGTGCAGCCTGAGGCGTTGCTGCAAACATCCCAGGATTAGAGATGACCTCAGTGGCCAAAACGCCGAGCCCAGGACAGCGTGATCCCTGCTGGCCCTTCCAAGTGCAGCCATGGCCAAGCCACCTGCACTGAGCCAGCTCCAGACCTGCTCCCTGGAGCGGTGACACCCAGCCCAGCCCAGCAGCTCCCTGGCCCTGGCTGGCAGCCAGGGCAGTGGTGCCACTGCCATCCACTCTCCCCCACCGGAGCACAGCCCTGGCTGGTCCCCTGCCAGCTCTCGCCCACACTGTGGGCAGGGCATCAGACCAGTCACCAAAAATACTCGTGAACTCATAAGAGTGACACAGTTTCTCCTCCCGGGGAGGCTGGGCTGAGCTCACAGTGTCCTTTTGGCATGGGCCAGCCTGGCGCTGCTGTAGGGTGGGCAGCCACAGGAGCCTGCCTCCTCCTCCTTGTCCTCCTCCTCTTCCTCTTCCTCCTCCTCCTCCTCCTCCTCCTTCTCTTCTTGCCTCCACAGCCCACAGCATCCCCCCGGGCTCCGGCAGAGCAGGCTCTGCTACCACAGCTGCTGCAAAAATACAGCTCTATTCTCACTCTGTTCCTCATCCTCTCTTTCTAGTGGGAGGTGGCACACAGCCTCGGTGGCTCTGCTGTCCCAGGGTGGGGGGACAGGTCTGGCAGTCCCTGCCTTGACAAGGCTGCGGGTCCCAGGTGAGGAATGTGCCGGGGCCATTGCCGGTGGGGTGGCACTGCCACATGCCTCTGCAAGCACCAAAGCACCTTTGCCCTCTTTCTTCAAGAGCTGGGGCTCGGCTGCAGCCCAGAGGAGCCTCTGCCAGCCTGAGCTTTGGCCTGGGAGGCTGTGCCCAGGGTTGCTCCTCCAGAAAAACCACCCTGGGACTGCCTGGCTGTAGCATGGCCTGAAGAAACTTGGAGAGTGGAGGTGGGTGGGCAGCCCCTGTGGGACTGCCAGGGCATGGGGGGAGCTGCTGGTTTAGGCTGAAGCTGAGGTATTCCAGGTTTGGGTTTGCCGCCAGAGCTTTTGGTGTAGAAAAGAAGAGAGTCTGCAAGGAAACCTGGGTGCAGTTGTACTTTGAGTTCTGGACGGGTTGACTCAGCAGGACGTTGCAGACTCAAAATAGCTCTTGCCTGAGAAAGAGTTTCCTCTCCCTTTGCTCTGAGCTGGCGGGGCTGAGCCCCTGCCCGGCAGCTGCACTCAGCCCTGGCAGCAGGAGCAGTGGCCACATCCCTGGTCTTGCTTGGGGGCTGTGCTGGGGTTGCTGTATGGGAACATTTTTTACTCCAGTGTTTGCATTTCCCAAGCAACCCTCTCTCTGGGGAATGTCTGAGAGGCAGCAGGGCTGGGTGTAAAGCCCATCAGCAGAACTGCTGTGATACCCCTGGCTGAAAAGATTCACTTTGCTGATGTTTCTCAGAGGGGCAAGAGGGTTGGGCAGGTTCCCAGCCACAGCCAAGGCACTTCCAGGTGAGCTGGCAGCTCCAGTGTGCCCCAAGTCTGGCTTGGTCATGGGAGGAGGAGGAGGAACAGGTGGTGGTGGCCCCTTGTTTTATTTCTTCATTGCTTCCCTTCCACTCCCATTAAGGAGATGAGTTTCTACCTATTTGTCTTCTCGTGACACAAAAGCTGTGCACAGGCAGGAACAGGAGGACAGGGACTGTATGAGATGAGTTAGGTCCCCTTGGCACAGCCCTTGTGGGAGCACAGGGGTGCCCTGGGGCAGGGGCAGAGAGCAGTTACACTTGCACAGCCCTCCCTCGTGGCACAAATGTGGGGGCACTCACCTGTGTCTACGTTGAAGGCGAGTTTGTCCACCCCCTCCTCGTAGCCCCGGCCCGAGAAGCACAGGGTGATGGTGAAGGGCTGCCCCCGCCGCACCACCAGCTGCTTGCACCCCATGTCTGCCGTCCGGTGCTCCCGCCCATTGCGCTCCAAGTGCAGGTCCCACGTGTCCAGCACCAGATCTGCGAAGGCAGTGGCATGTACAGCTCTGACCCTGGCACCAGCTGAGCCACGACACACAGCCCCTGGGGGCCACAGACCATCCTGAGCCCTGGGTTGGCACTCTGGAGAGGGATCTGAGCCTCCCCTGCCCACACTGCCCTGTCCTGCCCGGTGTGCCCGGTGCAGCCTTGGGCACTGTGGTTGTGCTGAGCCCTGAGCTCCTTCCAGGAAGGCTCTGCAGGCTGGGCTTGCATCGTGTGCTGCAAGAGGGGCACAGCTTTGGCAGCCGAGCTGACAGCGACGTTCTGCCTTCCTGACCCAGCTTTGTGCTGTGTTTGTGTGCCGTGGGGCTGCCTCTGTACTATCACCATGGAGGAGGGGCACCCTGTGCTGCCAGAGCTGTGCCAGGCCCATGGCTCAGGGCACCCAGCACAGGAGCAAAGCCCAATGCTCAGCTCTGCACTCGGAGGGGCTGTCACCGGGGCTGCTGTCTGTGTGCCCCCATCCCAATCACACGCTGCTGAGCCCAGGAATGCCTGGGATGTTCCTGTGCCTCAGCCTGTCCTCCAGCAGCTTTACTGTGCTATTACCGCTGACAAATTGGTGAGAGCAAGTGTAAGTTCAGTGACAGAGGTGTGTGATGCCCCAGATGCTGCTCTGCTCTGATCCCGGCCCAGGCAGGGCCATGTCCCCACCGCCCTGGGCGCCGCTCAGGAGCGATATCGCTCATCAGCTCATCATCGCTTGAGGCCAGTGACCCCTGACTGCTCTGCAGTGACGCGTTAATCACCAGAATAAACAAAAGCATTCCATGCAGGAGAGCACACAGCAAGCTCAGCGCTGCCTGGGGTGGCTCAGTGGGTGATGCTCAGCTTGCAGCCCCGTGCCACAGCTCTCCCTGGCCATGCCCTTCCCTGGTAGTCACAGAGCCCTCCTGGAACCACTGTGAAATGGAAACAGTTGCCCATGAGCTCGCTGTTCCCAGAGCTAAATGAAAGCACTGCTCCTGGCTCTCTGGACAAGAGGACTCTGCAGTAAGTGCCCAGTGGAGGGCAGTGGGCTTGTCACCATCCCCACCACACTGCTAAAACTGCTGGGACTGTCCATAACTAAGGGCAAGGTCCCTGCAGCCAGTCCATGGGGACCTTGGAGTGTAGATAGAGCACAGAGAGGTCCTTTCCCTCACTGCCTCCCCCTCTGTGAGCAGCACAGCCCTGTGCTACAGCACACGGACCACACGAGTGGAACCTCACTGACATGGACCCAAAGTCATTGTGAATAAGTGTGTTCAGAGAGCAGAACCAGGACTCCTCCTTGTCCCAGTCACCCCAGGGTTATCATCCTCAGCACATTTAGCAAAGAGCAGATTTCTCAAAGCACAGGTGCCTCTACCCCAAACCGATGGGTGCCAAGAGATGTGCAGGGAGGGGGCTGCGGTGCTGCAAGCAGAAGGGAGGTTCCAGGCACCCAGGAGCAGGAGCTGCCCAGTGTGTTGGTATTGCTGCGGTGGTGCCGGGAGCCGGGACAGCCTGCGGCACTGTGGAACAGCAGGGCACAGTGATGCCGTCTCACCCAGAGGGCCCCGTGCCCGTGAGAATCACACGGCCCCATTTCCTGGGACTCTGGGGGCAGCTCTGTGGAAGGCGGGGGCTCTCTCTGCCCTGAAGGGCCACGCGTGAAGGACTCCCGAAGACTGGAAGCTTTATTTATGCCTGAGCCTTCAGAAATCCCCTAACCCTGTCAGGACGTGGGCACACGCTCCTGGCCCAGCTGTCAACTTTCCTTTCCCGGCAAAGCTTTAAATAGCACCAAACTTCACTCCTACGGGTTCTGGCGCCACCCGGGCCAGCGGAAAGTCGAGAGGGAGGGAACGGCGCAGACCCGCGCGGACCCCGCACGGACCCCGCTGGGCTTGTTGCCGTCGCCCCGCTTTAGTCTTTCCCGTTCCCCATCGCCCTTGACTTTGCCGGAGGGTCAGGGACCGGCTCCTGCACCGAGCGAGCAGGGAGCGGCGGGATGGCACCGAGCGCCGGTCGGAGCGGAGGGGGCGCGGCCGGTCGGGACTTCCCGCGGAGCGGGAGCGATCCCGACACGTGCGGGGGGATCGCCCCGCGGTCCTACCTTCGGCCATGGTGCCGGCGCGGGGGGTGCGGGTGCTGCCGGTGCCGCCGGTGCTCGCTCGGTYCCGGTACCTGTCCTGTGCCACCCGCAGCGCTGCTCGTGCCGCTCCTTGTCCTGGTCCCGACGCCGGCGGAGCTGCCCCTCACTACCCGCCGACCGGCCCCATCGCCCGTCCCATTTATCCCGCCCGCCCCCCGCGCCCCCCCGCGCGGCCGGGCCGGCGGAGGGAAGAAAGGGAAAACAAAGTTTCCAGGAAACGCGGAGGTTTTAGGTCCCACCTATTGAAAATAACCACTCCAGAAAAAAAAAAAAAAAAAGGGGGAGCAAAGCCGCTGGCCCCGAAGCCCCCCGGGCTGGCTGCCCCCGGAGTTCCCCGGGACCCCACAGCCCCCAGGCTGGAGCTGGCCCCGCTGCCGATCAAGAGGAGGGGAGAACAAGGGGGCGGAGAGGGGCCGCCTGGCTCCCAGTGAGGTGCCAGGACTCGGGAATGTTTTCTCCTTATAAAGTTCTCTCCCTCCTCTGGCCCCATCTCCACCCTGGCCGGTCCTGGTGGGATGCCTCTGTCGGGAATCGCATCCCCTTTCCGTAACTGCATCCCTGAGAGATGGAGTCTGGAGGGAAAAAGTGTTGCAAACTTTGCTGCTGGACGGCAGATATGTTGGAAACCGAGCTGTTAGCTCTGGGATATGAGTGTACATGTGGCAGCGACCTGCACATTCCCTGGCAGTCCCTGCCCCATGCACTGGCCATCCCTCTCCTGCCTGGGGCTCCCTGCCCCATTATCTTGCCAGTGGTACTGCCTGGGGCTGCTTGGCCTGGTCTGGCCCTCCCTGTGTGTCCCAGGGGTCAGCCAACACACTAGAAACTACCTGTCAAGGGCAGAGGGCTGAGACCCCACATCTCCATGGGCTCTTGGAGTTTGGGAGTGCACCCGTACTTGAGCATGGCTTGTTACGAACAAGGTCTTGAGAAGTTTCTGGACCTCTGGAGTGACTTTGTTCAGTTACTGGTTTTCCTTTATGTGAGTTAAGCTGCCAAAGGCCAGGAGCCAGGATGGGGGGTGCTCCTGGGAGAGCCCTGCACTGACCCTCCTTGTTTGGCCCTTGGACTGGTGTGGAACACTGCAGCCCCTGCACTGGAGGCATCTGAACATTGGGAACCCTCCTCAGCCTGACAGGTATCCTCCTGTTCCCACAGTCCCATCACCCTCTTCCCCTCCCAGGTCTGGTGGTTGGTGCATCACTCCAGGGCTGCTGTGGGTGATGGGACCTTCTTGTGGCTGGTGATGTCCTGCAACTGGTTGGGGTCCATTGCTTGATGTACTCAGGATCACCTCACAAGGTCCCCACACAGGTTGTGCCCTATCCCAATGTACCCTGTCACCCAAGCAAGTGATGCAGCTGAAACTGCTCTCCCCAGACTTGGGGTGGTCCTGGCAAGGGGTCCCCACAAGTGGGCGATGCTTTCTGCTCAGGCATGCTGGGGCACTGTGTTGGGAGGGTCTGCAATGAGACAGACACCTCCTCCAGCTCTACAAAGGGGTTTTTGGTACCAACAGACTTGGTAAGGTCAGAGCACACCAAGGGCAGAGACCAGGAGAAGCCCCATGAGCGGGGGGCTCCTGGTGTGTCCCACTCTGAAGGCACAGGGCTGGTTTTGCAACAGCACTGCCCTGCAATGCAGCCACGGCCGGGGGGACCCCTCTCCTCCTTCACCATCCTTGAGGGAGGCGGGGAGAGAGGTTGGAGTGAGAGCAGCAAATCCTTGCTGAGAGAAAGCTCGGGACAGCTGCTTTCAATGGAAACAACTCATGTGCTGCTCCACCATGTACGTGCCCGGGCTGGGGGTGTGCAGGTGGTGGAGGGGGGGCCTTCGCTCATCTCACCTGCCCTGAGTTGGCCCTGCTTCCAGGGCTGCTTCCTGGGCAGAGGAGCCTCTGCCACCGGTGTTGACAAGTGCCAATGTGTCCGGCCCCGTGCTGGGGGGTGCCAGGTCCAGCTCTGCCTGCACAGGCCCACTCTTCCTCCTGTACCTAGCGCGAACTCTGGATGAACTCCGCAGCGGAGGAGCCGCGTTGGAATGCCTCGTTTGCTTTAGTTAATGTGTGACAAACAGCGAGGACACTGTTGGATGTGGAGCAGCAGGAAACGGCCATTTCTCACTCGGCTGGGAAGCAGAGCAGTTTGTTGCAGGGAAGGGTGTTGGGCTGTGTGGGATGTGTGGGACCAGGCAAGCTGGGGGGCCTGGCACTGGGCAGGCTGTTGGGACTATTTTCTGTCTGGCTTCTTGGCCAAGCAGAGCAGGAACGACTGACAGTGCCTATCCTTGCTCTGGTACCTTGGGCAGAAGTGGCAGGAGACAAGTGCCTGGCTGTCCCCAGGGGCTGTCCCCCAGTGCTGTGTTCTGGGGCTGTCCCCCAGGGTTATCCCTCTAAGTCTGTCCACTCAGGGCTGTCCTTTAGGGGCTATCCAGACTTGGTCCCAGCACGTCAACAAGAGGAAACCTCCCTTGTTTTCAGCTTTAGTGCCCACTTCACTCACACCACATATCGCAGAGGCATCTGTCTGCCCAGGCACTGGAAAATGTTGCCCACGCCACACTGCTGGTATTTTTACTCTCCTTACTAAGACAAGGTTGCATTAAGAGAGTGTTTGCACTGCTGAAGCCCAGAATAACTCCTCATTTGCTCAAGGTGTTCAGTGCAGGACTGCGACTTCCCTTGCCCCCGCCCCGCTCCTGGAGCTGCTTCAAAGCGTGCCGGTCCCTGCCGTGCTGTCCCGCACAGGCAGAGCCGCTGTTTGCTCTCCTGGGTGTGTGCTGGGGAGGCTGCAGCCCCTCCAGTGCTCGCACGTCCTGAGTCAGTCCCTTGTGCAGGCAGATAAACAACCCCTGAAAAGGGACAGTGTCTGCTCTGAGTCGCCCCGTTAAGTCGTCAACCGACTTCAACAGCTCTGCCCATCTCCTGCGGTGCCTCCCGCCCCGCCCTCAGCAGAGCCGCTGCTCCTGCAGCTCCCTGAAGCCAGGGAACCTGTGTTCTCCTCGGTGGAGAGCTCGGCATCGTACCCCCTCCGTAAGGGGGTCGGGCGGGCTGGGATGTGACTTTGGGAAAAGGTTAAAGGGTGAGACAATGTCTCGTGCCCATGATGACTGGAGCATTTGGGGCCGGGGATCCTGGCATCGAAGATGCTGCAATTACCCTTCTCCTGCCAGAGCTCTGATGTCTGAGCATGGAGAAATATTTCCAAGCTGGGGGGGAAAGACCTGTAGCTGCTCCATTTGTGGTCGGCTGAGCCAAAGCACTGGGCAGCAGCCACAGACAGGGTCTGTAAGGGCACTGCAGCCTGGGGTGAGGGAGGGTGGGGCTGGTGATGGCATCACGGGCATTTTGGGCCAGGTGAGCCGCTGGCTTGGTGCTGGCATTGCTCCAGGTTTGGAACTTCGGTTGCCACAGACAGCTCTGGCACTGAGCCAGCAACTTGAGCAAGATGGGCTCGGTGCTGTGCGGGGTTCCTGGGATGGAGGGGTTTGAAGCCGGCATAAAGGGGGGCTTGTTCCCAGCCCTAGGAAGCTGCCTGCCAGGCCAGGCGGTGCAGGGAATGGGCAACCTCTCCTCTGGGAGGAGAAGTGGCTTTTTAAGGAAAAGCAGACTGTTTTTCCACCTGGCCCCACAGGAAGGCCCGGTGTGCTCTGATGTTGCAGCCACAGGGTAGACACAGCCCTGTGAGGCTGAGGCATCCTCTGTCCACGGGGCAGGGGGAGGGATGTTCCAGTGCTGTCGGACACAGTCCCAGGCTCTGGCTCACTGCTCACAGCACATGCCAAGCCAGAGGCTGTTCCCGAAAAGTGCAGAACCTGGACCAGCATGGCCTGAAGGGACAGGCCAGCAGCTGATAACCAGCTTCTCTGGGGAGTCCTGGGGCAAGGCATCCCATCCCTCTTCTAGGGGGGGTTCAGGAGGAATTTGTTATGTCACCATCTTTGTTCTTGGGCCAAGTCTGTGCTTTTGTTCAAAAGAAACGAGAAAGAAAGAAGCTCTCGAAAGTCTCTTCATTTGGTGTCCAAGCTCGGTAGGAGCAGGAGGGCTGAGGGCTTCCCTTGCAGGGCTCCCCAGAAAGCCCCTGGAAAATGGGTCCTGTGTCAGACAGCAGTGATATCTGCTGGAGAGTTGGATTCTCAGTTGTGCCAAGTCTTTCCCTTCTGGTGGCCCCAGGATGGCCACATGGCCAGTCCTCCTGCAGCAGGGTCCCACAGCAGTCATGGGTGGGCTGCAGTGCTGCAGGATGGGCTTGTGTCCAGTGCCAGGGAGCCAAACACGATGTTTTGCAAACTGGTCTGGTTGTACCTGGTGCGAGCTGAATTCCAGCCTCTGGCTGTCATTTCCCAGCAGTTTGTTGGAACCCCCCCAGCCCTTCCTCCTCAGGGTGCCTCTTCCCCCAGGGCTCCACTCCCCGGTAATCCCTCACCACCTTCAGAGTGTGCAGGCTCCAACGGGTCTGCAGGGGGAAACAAGAGGGGTCTGTGCTTCCCAGTTGGTGCATAGCATGTTTGTGCTCCTCCATGAGTACACAGGTCCAGATTTCACGCCTAAAGCTGACGATTCCCCCAGGACTCACACGTGAGCCACACGTGGCCCCCGCTCAGAAGGTCGCCTGTGCCCAACTCTCCTGTCAGCAGCTTCCCTGGGGTGGGTGTCTGCCAAGTCCCTGGGCAAGCACTGGCACACTTTTATTTTCCATCCATCCCTTGGGATGCAGCACAGCTGGGATTTTGGAAAGCAGCTGGGTTGGCCTTGTCCTGGCCAGCTCAGATCAGGCTGAGTTACGTCCAGCCCTCGGAGTTTGACCCTTTGGCGTTACCCTTCAGCCTTCCTGTTTTCCTCTGGTATTGCTGGCTTCTTTGGTTTCCCATTTCTTACAGCAGTCCTGCAGCTCCCCAGAGCACCAGCAGCCTTGGCTCAGTGATGGGTGAGACCTCTGTTTGCTGTGCAGGAGCAGATAACAAAGGGGATAAAAAAGCGGACATCTCTCCTCGCAGCCACTTCCCACGCCAG